AATAATGAAATAACGTCATTACAGTCAAAATACCAAAAAATAACCTATTAGACCATATATACAAAAAACCTCTTTTCATAGATTTAAGTAGAACTTTCTGAATCTTTCGAATTATAGTGTCTTCTTTCCACTGAAAACAAACTTTAAAAGTATAAATAATGTATATATATAACTAAGTAATAGTTTTATCTACCAGTAAACCTACATTTTTTCTTTTTTTTTGACTTTTATGCCAGACTTTTGTATACATTTCTTCAAATTTAAGATTTATAGAATTTTTTATAATAATTGCAGAATTTCTTTAAAAAAAATAATTTTTATGGCATGTCAAAATAAAGGAACGGTTGCTTGCTTTCGTATAAAACCAATAATTCACAATAGATCAAAAATCAAAATCGACAATAGGGCTTATCTTTTGTAAGCATGTTGAAAAAGAACAAATAATATTAGCTACTTTCGTTGGCAACTCTGGACAAAATGGAGATTTTGTTCGACATAAATGTGCGAACACGTAAAAAAGTTGAAATTTCGAAAATGAATAATAATTCTTTGCAATTATTGATGAGAATATTTTTTTTTACATGATTCTGAATAAAATATAATTTTTCGTGACTTTTAACAGAAAAATAATAAATAGAAAATATAACATATTTGTTACGAACAATGACGACACGAAATACGAATAATTAACGAAATCATTCGTTGACAGATAACTGGACATTTCGTATGGACTTCCAAAAATCGTTTACAATAGACGAATTTTTAGTCTTTGCAACCTCGTGCTTTGAGCTGCTTATTAGTTAAGCTTATGTTTCATATTTATTTTTAAAATAAGCAGTTATTCCTACCAATTTAAATTTTTCTAATATTATTCTTTGCAATATGATTTATATAAATCTGTGTCTATGAGACACAATCAGGCCCTTCTGCCAGTGCCTATGTAGTTTTCAAGATCTCGGTCTTATAATTTATACCAAATGATCTTATGAACAAATTTCTTTTAAACGAAGAACCTAATAAGACAATATTGAATCATAAAAACTTATACTTGTGATTAAAATAGTGTAGCTTTGAAAATCTTAAGAAGATTTTATGACAATAGAGCAGTTATAGAGAGACGAATGACAGTAAAGTGGCAGCTATTGCGGTATTGTACCCCACTAAATGCAACATTATTTACAAAAATTATTCACAGTACACAATTTTAATTAAATTTTAATTAATTTAATTTTTTTCAGTTCATTAAAACGTGATATATAATATCCAATTTACTAAAACCATCATAAAACGTTTAAAATATTTTTCTTCCATTTCCGCTCTTTTAATTTTAATTTTAATTTTATAAAAATAATAAATGGATTTCCCACAACATCATTAACAACATAGCATGTCAGCAACAGTCGAACAGACATTTTAATGCCGCACAACAGACATTTTAAATCAATTTGTCATAAGGCATTAGGAACAAATCAATACTGCATAGCAGAAGAGAACCAACAACAGAAAACAGCAGCGATAACAGCAGTAACAGCAATAACAGTGGTGATAGCAGATCCATAAGCAGCGGGAGAATTAATGTCATTTCGTAATGTTATGAAGCAACAATTTATTGAATTTGAGGCATTAATTCTAGCAGAGAAAAATTTCACGTAATAACATTTACAGTGGAAGAAAAATTGCATTAAGCTTCGGTTTAAAATAAATAAATGTGTACCATAAAAAATTATTCTTCACATTTTCTTTTGAATTGAAAATAAAAATGGTTCAGACTTAAGTACTTCAGTAGTTTTCAGTTATTTACTTTATATTGGCACATTATTAAATAAATTTCAAAACTTGTTATATAAAAAATTGTTGGTATAAATAATACAAATATCTTTTTATTTTATTAATTATAAGATCATAATTTTTTTTTTTTTTTTTTTTTTTTTTTTAATTTTATTTTCTTTTATTGCGATCTGTCATTCAGAGTAGACAATAAACAATATTTAAAAGTGACTAAATACTTAAAAGACCATTTTGAGCTTGAATGGACTGAGCTCAGTAGCACATCCGTATGTTGAAGTCGGACACATTAAAGTTCCAATGGCGTTTGTTTGCGGAGGCGTGTGAACGTTCTTCCTTCTGCTATAATTCTGCTCATAAAGAGGTTGGGATGATGTAACATACGTTTTTTGTGTTTACTGGCTTGGCTTTTTATGACATCCTTAACTACAGGAACGTTGAGATCGCGATGTATACATTCATTTGTTATATATCTAGGAGCATCTAAGATTAATCTAAGGGTTTTTGATTGAAAACGTTGGATAATCTCAATATTTGAAGATGCAGCAGTTCCCCAGAGTTCAATGCCATATGTCCAGATTGGTTTGAGTATCGCTTTGTAGATAAGAAGTTTATTTTCCACGGAAAGCTTTGAACTTTTATTCAGTATCCAGTAGAGCTCCCGCAGTCTGATGCCAAGTGCTTTTCTTTTAGTAAAAATATGGTGCTTCTAAGTTAGTTTTGTGTCAAAGTGTATTCCTAAATATTTCACTTGGGTAGATTGAGGGATTAAGATATCGTTAAGTCGTACCGGAGGGCAATTTTTCCTTCTCATTGTAAAGTTTATTTGTGAAGACTTAGTCTCATTTGCTTTTATTCTCCAGGTTTTAAGCCACTGGGAAATGTTATCTAGCGCTCGCTGGAGTTTGTTTGATGCTAACTGGTGATTTTCGTCTGTAGCAATTACCACAGTATCATCGGCAAAAGTTCCAATCTCAGTACCAACGGTGGTAGGCAAGTCGTTAGTGAAGAGTAAGTATAACACTGGTCCCAAGACAAGAATGTTTCGCAGCAGTACTATTGCTTCATCCGGTAACTCCTTTAATATTTTTGAAGTAATTAGGTCATAGCCGGGTGCTTTATTTATTTTTAGTTTTTTGATTTCAAATTTTATGTCGAATTTCAGTATTTAAAAAAATTATTTTAGAAGCGTTTCGAATAGAAAAGAAAAGACAAGAACAAAAATTTAGTTAATTTATTGAAATTTGGCTGAACTTACAACGCTTTACCGAGTATTGCCAAGTAATCATCATCAGTGGTCTTGGAAAATATTCGAATAATTTTTTTAATTAGTCCCTATATAATTATGTTTGGATTGCAAGTGTCAGGATTAGAACTTGTGCTTTCGCACTCTGCCATCCTCATTCATTATTTCATTGTCTGCTTACACAAGACGTGTAGAATTGGAACTACAGCAATGTTCTGTTTGTGATCCTAATAGATCAAAACTCTGGCGCTACCAATACTTTGGGAAAAATATGGTCTATACTTCATACATTAAAAATACATAAAAATTACTCCTAAAAGAACATATTTTGTATGTCAAAAGATCTTTCAATTTTTCAGCTTTTTTTCCATACATGTGCGATGATTCCATTATGGCCCCAACTTTATAGAAAAATAGACTATGAATTTATTTCAAGAGAATTAATTGAAGAGGAATCAAAATATATAATCATGTAATGATAAAATAGTTTTTAAATAATAAAACTTCTATTTTCTAGACTTACTAAAAATGTGTTCAGGCTTAGGGAATATTTTACGATTTCATAGAATTTCATTGAGATAGATACATACCTAAATATTGTTTGTTTGAGATATAAGCAGTTCATAACAAGCTCTTACAGACCCGCGTTGTGTAGGGTTCTCCCTTCAATACTAATCGAAGACGGCACATTAATTAAGTCCCAAAATAAAAATTTAAACATAAAATATATTCAACAATTTAAATTAAATGTTATTAATAAATGTTTTTTTTTATTTAATATTTTTTGTTGGGTTGCTATTCTATTGATCAAATGATATTTACACAAAAATTTAATGAAAAAAATTTACTTCAAATTTTGCTAATATTGAGTATCAAAAAAACTATTTTTATTTCAACTCTGGACTAGTTATTCTTTATGTCTTGTAAGAGTAATTGCAGGATGAACCAGATGTTCTTTCTTTTTGACTGTATTCTCATCGTTTGCTATGAAAATCTTGAAATACTCTTTAAAATCAGATGTCCTCGACAATGTGGAAATTGCATTTTCAGTAGCCAACAAACATCCAATGTAATTTCCAGCTTCTGATAGTGAGATGTTAATGTGGAATATGCCATTAGTTTGTAGAGTAAGAGTCAGTGTCACCGTCTTAGCTGGATGATTGCCAATGAGTTGTTTGATTCTTGCATCCAAGTGATCCTTAACAAGAGGTGGTTTTTGCTTTTGACATAGCAAGCAGAAGCTCGAAACGGATTTCAATTGGGCTTTCTCTTGTTTTAGTTGGTTTATGTCAGACGTGCGTAATGCATCAGCATACGATATTCCAGGTGTTACTTTAGAAGGCTCAGGATTTAATTTTTTTTGTTGAGTAGTTTGTTTTGTTTCATTTATTTTTTGATTTGAGGGCGGTTTAGTATTTTTATTTGCATATAATCTTGCTAAAGAAAACTCTTCATTCTCATAATCCGTTTCTTGTGTATGCGCAGATCCTGAAGGCTGTTGCGGATTGAGTGAACAAATTTTAATTTCATTAGCAGATCTCGCGGCATCCGCATATGATATTCCCGGTTTTAAATGCGTAGGATGTGCAGGCGGATTATTTTGAGCAGCGGCCTGATTTCTTGCACGTAATTTTGATAAGGAAAACTCTTCATCATCATAATCTGTTTCAGTTGTAGGTTTTTTCTTCTGTTGTTGTGGTTTGTGTTGACTAGTTGTAGTTTTGGATGTTTTGGGTTTTATTTTAGAAGAATTACTACTTTTTGAATCTGTTTTATTTAACTCTTGACTTTTACTACTTTTTGGTACGGGCTGAGTTTTAGATAGTTCCTTTTCAGTTTCGGAATTGTGTTTTGTATTTGAAGGTGATTTATTTACACTTGAATCAAGATTTTTCTCGGTATTAGTATTATTTTGCTTGCGAGTACAAGATGGTCGGTTGCCCATTTTTCTATTTTATAAGTATCCAGTTCGATTCATCTTTGTTTGCACTTATGAAAAAGAAGACACGACATAATTTTTTTTTAATTTTAAAAGCATTTTTAAGCTACTTATATTTCTCCATTGTATTTTTTATCAAGAAGAATTTTTATAATTTTAAATTTCATGTCATATAGAATTTAATATCAGGTAAATATGATTGAGAAAAAATAAATACCGTTTCTTTATGTTTGTGTTTTAAATCTTTAAAAAAATTGTGAAGAATGGTATGTTAGGTTTTTAGAGATACTTATAATATAGTGAAATAGAGAGTGGAAACAGTTTAAACTACAAATAATCCTTAAAACCATAACGACACAAAAAAATTTACTGATCACAATCTGTCTATCGTACTTGCTTGGCATCGATGTATAAACCAAAGAAGTACCTAAGTGGATATCTCGTATTGCATGAACCAATAAATCGTGCAAAAAGTTATAAATATATATAAATAAGGGAGGTATCTACGTTGGCATCTTATACCGTATGAAGAAGTAAGATTTTGTAGTATAGGTTCAATAACACAATTTGTTGAGGAAGTTGGACTTGGAGAAAAATTGTAAGTTTATGAATGGGATACGATAGATGTTTTGGTCGCAATGTTGATATTCCAAATATAATAATAATAAAAATAAAAATAAATTGTGATTTAAATATATATATATTAATTTAAAACAAGCGTGAATCCTATAATAAATTCAAATAAGCAAGGAGGAATGTAGCATAATGAAGATTTTTTAGAAAATATCTCTAAAAATATCTTTAATGTGGAAATTTTTGTATAAATTAAAATAAGACAACACAAATATATAAACCACCCAGCAAATGAATTTTGTATGACCTATAAAATGCCGGATGTGGAAGTCCTAGTTTGACACAGTTGTTATGAATAGACCAAATCCAGTGAGATTCTTATGCTTTTCCTAATATACTCGTATGAGTGTAATATGAAGTTTTCCGGAATAAAACTTACTGATGAGGAATTTTATTGTTATTGTTCAATTGTTTGGTTAATTTTCTTTGCTCTACTATTGTGCTAAATTTAGATTGCCGGATTAAGCCTGCTTCTATGGCAGTGGCAGTGTTAGTAAAATTTAAACAATTCATTTCTTATGTGAATAAATATGGTATAAGAAAAATAAATGAAAATTATAGATGAGTTATGAATACGTAGAAGTGTATTTGATGATATACACCACAATTATATATAACTATACAGTTAAAATTAAATATTGAATAACAAATTAAAATCTCTATTAACATGTGACAATTTTATGATGAAAAATCACTCCTTTCACAATACATGTCCTGGTTAAAGCAATTAAAAAATATGTAACAGAACGAGTAATAGAGGAGTAGTCCTCTACGTGCAAAGAAGTTATTAAGGGTTAAAATTTGGTTGATTCCATTAATAACAGACCTGCATTTGAATAACCCATTTGTATGACGGCTATATTGAAATCTAAGCCGTAAAACGTTTATTGAAGATTATAGCTACCGTGTGCAGTACTGAAAATGTGTCTGAGAAAAATCTGAATAACAACAATAATGCTTTAGAACTGATCACATGTACTATATATGATTTATACCATGGTATGTACATATAAAAAATTTTTTTTTGAATACAGGGCAGAATAAAACAAGGTGAATACGAAATTCAACCAATTCCAAAAACGTAAATTAATTAAAAGCGACAGAAACTTTCAGGTAAAAATAAAGACAGAAATGAAAGAATCATATTTACTACAAATTTTTCATTTTCTTCCATATGTAAAAAGGTATGTAAATAAAAAGCATTATGACCTGAATATCATAGTAAAAGTATCTTAATCTAGTTCTTCCAAACGCTAGTCAATAACAAAGAAAGTATCTTGCCAGATATCCAAGACAACAATGATATCTGATCATATCTGACATTATGATACACATAAGAGCCATATGTATGCTCTGTGAGGAGCCCAATCAGTATGTTGAACTTTCTTCTTCTTAATTACGGAAGAAATTTATTAAATTTTTTAGTACATACAAAAATATGTATTTATACTTAAAAGGTTAAAATGCAATATTCCAACTTTATACTATGATATCTGAACTTTTGAAATAATGTCTCTAATTATTACTAAGTTTAAAAGTCCATATCATAAAATATCTATTTTAATATTAAAATAATACTTTATTCCAGTATACTATATATCCTTTTTCATTGAATCAAAAAGAAGTTATCTATTTATCTTAAAGGTCCAAGTTATAATGAAAAACTGATCAAATACTCATTATATTATACTAAGTCATTCCAATACCCTACACCCTAATTTCTGAATTTGACTATATACTTTCTATTAATTTTCTCCAGATCTAAACGGAAGAGGAATAAAATATTTCTTATACTATGTCATACCATTACTATACTATGTCATACCTTAATTTGAAATCTTGTATTTGAATTGTGAAAAAAGTTCACTAAAAATAAATTCAAAAGGGAAGATGTATGCCAACTCCCAGAAATTTAAGTTTATCAACATCAAATGAAAATTTTGAAATTGAAAAGCAATTACTTTTGAAATTGAAGATATGATAAATAAAATAATATTTTATTAAACTTTCCACTATTTAACGAACGAAAATACTCCTGTTTGACCTATTTAATATCTTTAAAATTTTCTTAATTGAATAAAGGTATAGGTTGTTTTCATCTTCCCTACCCCGAGGACGCATTTAGCATCAGTTATTATCAAAACATCTCTCTTAAAGAAAAAACTTGCAATTAAGAATTTTTTGAAAAATTATATATATAACGCTCCTAAATCATTGGTCACCTAGTCCTTCCACTGAAGATGCGGACGTCCTTTACGTGTTTTCCACCTGCGAGTACCGAATCAAACACCTTTACTGCCGGAGCCAGCGAAACCGCTGAATTTTTATGCGATTAACTATATCAATGTCGCGGTATTGCTAACACAGCTCATCGTACCAACTAATTCGATAATCATTACCAAAGCGTAAGGGATCGTACATCTTCCGAAGAATGTTCCTAACGTCTTCTGAGCAGTGTTGCTAATTGTCCAAGCTTCTGCACCATACAACAGTACAGGTATGATAAGAGATTTATAGAGCGTGATTTTTGTTTGTCAATTGTTTATTAATTGAGTAATAAAGAGGGCTTTATTTACCTACTTAGCCCGAAGTAACATCTGTTGGCAAGAGTGATTCTTCGTTGAATCTCTAGATTCTAGGTTCCCAATCAAAGAAAATCTTTCATATCACTCAGGAGACTTTTTTGTTGACAGAAAGTACTTTTTTTTGTCCTCGTATACCACAAGACCCATTTGCTTCGTTTGTTTTTCTAGGTTGAAAAATGCCGCACTGACGGCGTTCCGCTTCTGTTTACGTTATATGTTCAGGTTTGATTATAAGTTTAATACCTTCGGTATGTATGTTATACTATATATCGACTAAAAGCGATAATAAATCACTTATGGCTTTGGTAGCATTTTTTTCTGTAGATGATTTAAGACTTTACAACTGGTCTGTTAGAGCAAGAGAGTAGTGTTTTTGTTTTGCATATAAATTGGAGACTTAAGCAAGAGACTTTTTCGTACTCTTCGGAACTGCAGAATAAACCAATTTTTACTTATTATTATTTAGTTAATTTTTTTACTAATGCAAAATAAATAATTAAATAAGTAAATAATTAATATTATTTCATAAAATAAAAATGAACTATTTAACTTTCCAATCAAATTTGTTAAGTGAATGAAATTAAAAAAATTAAGCGTTGTTCATCGAACTAATGATGCATCGTAATTGTACATCGTTCCGTTGTAATTTTATTTATTTTTTTTTCATTTTATTAACAAATATATAGAATACCTTGCCACCCTTCTATGGAATCCAATAACGTCACGGAAACAGCATTGCATACATGAATCTATTTTTCATTAACAGAAAACAGAAAATGAATAGGAACATAGCCATGGAAGCAGACAAAGCGGATACAAGCGAAGGATACGAGTATGTGCTCAGCACCTTGCGTTTCCGTTTCCGTTTGGACGCCTTAATGCGAAACGACATTACACGAATTTATTTATTTCTATTTTTTTGCCTGTTTTTGCACATTTTCCCCGTTAAATCGGAAAATTTTTCTTACAAATCGGTTTCGAGTTGAATTACCATAATATGACACACGATACGAATGACTTCATTGAAAAGCATTGACAAAGACAGATATTGGAGGATTAAAGCATCAAATTGTATTGAGTACGGTGGGCGGGGTGGCACTAAGATGTACTAAACGGTGTTAAGTAAAATGCAAAAAAAACAAAAAAAATAAAACAAAAATTAAAATAAATACATACAAAAAAACAAGGAAAAGAAAAAAGAGGAAGAAAAAATTTAGCACATTTTATGCTTTTTTGTGCTCTCCTTTTGCGCTGTTAAAACTTATTCAATTTCAATCTTATCTTGTATATCCTTTTTTCCTTGCTCCTTGTTTTTGATTTGCATTGCTTTATGTTATATGATGGGTGTAATGAAAGACGGAATAAAAGCAATGAAAGTGGAAAACAAAAAGTACAAACTTGAAAGTGCTTAGCAAGTATAAACAAGGATTTTCATTTATCCCCCTTCCCCCTTCTGTTAGCTCAGTTGTGCATCAATTTTTGAAATACAATACGATACGTCTTCACTGCAGCGCTTCTGCCCCTGCCCCTGATTGGGGCAAATTCAAGCTCTAGCATTGGGGCTAAATCAAAGTATATCTGATAAGCGATAATATATAAAGTAAAATGAATTGTTTGATCAGATAGAAAAGCAAAAGTTAGGTTTTATATTCTCTGCGGTCAGAACGTAAGCCATTGTTTGAGAAGTATAAGCAAAAATCAATCTGAAACTTAAACTGTTCCTGTTTTAATAGCCAATTTCTAAAATTTATTTGAGCAGAAAAAACATAATTAATGGAGTTCAGTTACGTAAAGTAAATACAAATGAAATGAAATGCGGTGGCTTGTGTTTG